TTTACTACAGTACATTCTTACCACAGTACATTCTTACCACAGTACATATCAGAATCAGAATGCCTTTATTGTCATTATACGCAGTACAATGAAATTAAGAGCCACTCCTTTTTCCAGTGCAAAAACACGCCTTAAGAAAACACACATTTAACACACACTAAAAATATAAAAAATGTAACGCAATATAGATATAATAATGAAAGTAAAAAATACAAGTATTACACAATTGTATTGCACATCATGGATATTAGTGAGGTAGTTAAGGTGACTGAGAGTATGACATGTCAGTAGTATTGCACAGTAGAAGTCCAGGGGTTTGGGAGGTTAGATGATTAAATCAGTGCATGTGTGAGTTCAGGGTGGTGATGGCTTTCAGGAAAAAACTGTTCTTGAATCTGTTTGTTCTTGTTCTGATGCACCTGCAGCGCTTCCCTGAAGGTAACAAGTCAAACAGTTCAACACCCGGGTGAGAACAGTCCTTGATTATGTTTTCTGCTCTGTTGAGGCAGCGTGATGTGTAAATGTCCATCAGGGAGGGGAGAGGGCAGACAGTTATCTTTTGTGCTGTCTTGACTACTCTCTGAAGCCTCTCCCTGTCAGCCAGGGTGCAGCTGCTGGACCATACTGAGATACAGTATGTCAGCAGGCTCTCCATGGACGAGCGGTAGAAGGTCAGCAGCAGTTTTGTGTTCAGGTTGTGCTTCTTAAGGACTCTTAAGAAGTGTAGTCTCTGCTGAGCCTTCTTGATGACCGCTGTGGTGTTCTCTTTCCAGTTTAGGTCAATCAATCAATCAATCAATCACCTTTATTTTACCAGGTAGAGCCCGTTGAGATCGAGATCTCTTTCACAAGGGTGACCTGGTCAAGTGGTCATCAGCACACGTCACAGGGTAATTGACAACAAGCATTTACATTTATCAAAAGAAAAAGAAACTACAATCACAATAAATAAATGTTAACAGTTTGAAACCATCAGGATAAGACAGACTTCTGTAGACATTAAATGTAGAACAGACATCAGTTTAAGTAGACAGAGTTAAAAGTCAACAAAGACATGTGTATTTGATAAGTAGTGTTTTAGAAACATCTGCAATGGTCCCGATTTTTGATAACATTATCTGATACGGTTGACATGAAGGATCTAGGCGAGATGAGTGTTGATAGTTTCAAATGTGTCCGTAAGTTGTTCCAGGCTGAGGGGACGGCGAAGCTGAATGCTCTTTGTCCCAGTTCAGTTCTGACCAGAGGAACTGACAGGAGGATTAGGTCATTAGAGCGCAGGGAGTAATGATTGTGTGACGTTTGTATTAGGGAGGTAAGGTATGACGGGACTAGGTTTAGAAGGGTCTTATAGATGAAGGATATCCAGTGAGTGTATCTGCGAGCGCTGAGAGAAGACCAGCTAGACTTGACGTAAAGTTCACAGTGATGAGTGCGATAACTGGAATCAGTAATGAATCGAAGGGCACCATGATAAACTGAGTCTAAGGACTGTAGGTATTTTGATGCAGCACTCATGTACAGCACGTCACCATAATCTAATATCAGCATGAAAGTTGCAGCTACTAATGCTCTCCTGGCTTTACATGAGAAGCAGGATTTATTTCTGAAGTAGAAGCCTAGCTTCAGTTTGAGTTTAGTGACCATTTTGGAGATGTGGATTTTAAATGACAGTTTATTGTCAATGTTGAAACCTAGATATTTGTATGTGGAGACCATTTCTATTTGTTTTCCCTCTTGGGTTTCAATTTGAGGTGGGTTCTCTGGTTGCTGCTTTCTGTTGGATAAAACCATGATCTTGCTTTTGTCAGCATTTAGGACCAGTCTAAGTTTTTGCAGACGTGACTGGATAATATTAAAAGCGTCTTGAAGAGAGGTGAAGGCTTGGCTGAGGGAGGATGAACAGCAATAAATGATAGTGTCATCTGCATAATAATGGTGGGAGGCGTTTGACAGATCACTGCATAGATCGTTGATATATAAGGAGAAAAGAATGGGACCCAAGACAGAACCCTGTGGCACCCCTTTCACAACATCTAGGAACGTAGAGGAGGATCCGGCTACATGGACAGACTGTGTTCTGTCAGTTAGATAGTTGGTGAACCAGGAGACTGCTAGTTTTGATGGACCAGAGTGTTTTAGGTCAGCAGAGATATGGACACCAAGAAATCTGAAAGTGTGAACCCTTTCCACACACTCGCCGTTGATGTAAAGGGGGGCTAGGTTGGTGCTGTGCTTCCTGAAATCAATAATCACCTCCTTGGTTTTTTTGATATTCAGAGTCAGATTCTTCTCTGAGCACCAGGTTGCTAGCTCCAGGACCTCCTGTCTGTAAAATGTCTCCTCTCCCTTAGAGATTAGTCCGACCACTGTGGTTTCATCAGCGAACTTGTCGATGAGGTTGTTGTTGTGGGCCGGGCTGCAGTCATGGGTGTAGAGACAGTACAGCAGGGGGCTCAGCACACAGCCCTGTGGGGAGCCAGTGCTCAGCG